GGGGTCCTCATCTCCAAATTCTAAGCCAGGTGGATCGAAGAAGTTGGTTGATTGGGGAGGAGTCAAAGCCTTCCTGGCTTTCTCATTGAGCTCCTTGCAGGCATCGTGGATCTTCTTGAGCCGGTAGTCGTCGGTGGCCTTGATGAGTCTCTCTAATAGCAGTAGCGCTGATTCCACATTACTCTGATCCGTGAGTCGGCACGGGTGATCGGGGTTTGACAGGTTGTTGACCGTGATGAACATGATGCTGGTCAAGTAGCCACAAGACACCAGCCTAGTTATATGTCAGCAGTGCTTCTTTCGTGTCAATGGAAGGAACATTTACCAAGTCAGAGCTGAATCGTTCTCTGGAGTCGCAGCATAGAGATGCATGCATGTCCTCGCCTCTTCAACCAACTTCTCCCAGCAATCAGGCAGCTGCACCGCAAACGCTTCAGGAAGGACTTGCGGAGCTTGCCTTTTGCTGCAATTCAACACTTCTTGTAGCCACTCGAGATGATGGGAGTCCGCATAGTGCGTTGTCGCAACCAACTGCAAATGCGTGTAGTGCAGCAGGCAGAGGTACCGCATGTACTCCGTTGACACAATGCCGGCCACGCTTTGCGCCATAAACTCCTCCGGGATCGACTTCTCCCAGTTCTCGAGCATCTCTCGCAGTCGGATCATGTTTTGGGTCCTTTCACGATCCGGGAGTTTCATGGCTCTGACGGACAGGAGCATCGAGTAAAGCTTGCCTTGAATGTAAGCAAGCTGCACTCGGGTCCGGAAGTAGTTGAATTCTTGCCCCAAGAAACCAATGATGATTCCTGCCTTGTCAGGTGGGTGCATTTCGGGGAGATCTACATCGATGTCTGCATCTTGGTGGATGGCCGGCGAGCTCGTTCTCATGGCGCAGTCCCGGTCTAGGATGTACGCAATCCAAAAGACTCTGTTCCTTTGAAGTATTTCGGCCGCATCATATTCATCTTCTGGTCGAAGATTCTTGGTGTAAAGTCTCAGGCCGTGAACGAGACGCATCGCAGTGGCAATGATCATCGCGGCAGGTCGGACGTCTGATGAGCCGTGAAACACGAGGACCAGGCCAAGCACGACCTGAAGAGCCAGGAGATTGGGTTCGCTGACGACCAGCTCGTTGATGACTGATTGCACGTTGTTGATGTATCGTTGCATGTGTTGTGTGTCTGTCGGACTCGAAGCATACGAATGCCTCTGAGCTAGAGCAAGAACGATGTTGACAGCTGCCCAGGCGTCTGTCTTGCGGTATGCAGGGTATGTGTACCACCCACGTAGCATCTTCATGAAGACTTTTTTGTCAAAAAGTGGTAGAACTTGGTTTGACTTCTCAAAGTAGTCTTCGACGATTGGGAGGACTACTCGCAGCGGTGGGAGTGTCCTGGAATCGTTCCCCGGTACTTGGACGCTGTCATGGTCGGTAGAGTAGCTCGGAGATTCATTGGATATCGACCCAGCTCCTAGTCCCCAAAACTGCTCTTCATCGGAGCTGGAGAATTTCTGCAGTGCTGAACTCAATTCAAGCCGAGCGATGGGAGACATGGACACATGCTGGACAGTCATGGATTGGGGTTGCCCTTTTTGAGCCTCGAGTTGCGCAAGCCGCGCTTCCAGCATCTCGATCTTCTTGACACTGTATCAAAGTCACCATGGAATTCCACCAACTCCGACAGAGGCCAACTTACTGGTTCGGCTTGATTGCTGGAGCTCTCGTGGGGCCAGTGTATGTGCACTCTGAGTTGTACAGCTTGCATCCTGAACAGCGAGGCTGTTTGGCGTCGCATTTGATCTTTTTGTGGTAACAAAGATCGCAAGCCTGTCCATTTTCAACGACGATGTTATCAGCTCTTTGTCTCGTTCACATGATGTTGAGCCTCAGGGGGAGCTTACCTTTCTTCGCCGAACCCGCTTGGTCTTGGATGTTTCCTCCATGTTGGAAGCTGATGCAAGACTGCGATACTAGGGCAAGGAGCTAGATTCTTCTGCTAACAACGAGCAAAGTCTCCGCTTTTTAAGTGCCGCCGATGACAGAACGCAATTGAAGCAGTTGTGATGTTAAGTTGGCCGCATCATTCCGAATGGGAGTTGCCTCCGTGGGGACGCTAGATTAGTAATAGGTCAGCCCTACGACTGAAATGGGGATGAGATGGATCCTTCGTAGGCAGCTGGATTCTTACGTAAGACGTACATAGTAATTCAGTCAATGTCTCATCGACGGGAAAAAGAGGTCGTGTCCTGGAGCGAAGGCTGCGCTAATAGAAAAAAGTTGTGTTGGTTGAGAACAAAAGAGCTCGGAAGTCATGATACAAAAGGCCAAAAAAACGACGTTGGCCTGATTCGAACAGACGCTCCCGAAGGAACAAGATTTCTAGTCTTGCGCATTAGACCACTCTGCCACAACGCCAGACAGGCTCCGCTTGGATGCGGGGCTGTGGCTGGTGTGAAGTGTAAGAATACTATGTAGGCAGACGGTACAGAAGCCAGCAATTTTCGCAATTTGTAACTCGCCGTTGGAATCCAGATTAAGCAAATTCATTAACGACTGGATCGATTAGGCTCGCGTTTCATTCCAGATGCCATCTGAATTTTGCAGCATAAACTTCAGCGAGATCGGATGGGTGCAGGCGCCGCTAATGTGCTGAAGCTTGACGATGGGATGTGAACCTTACCTAATGACAACTTTAAAAACTGTTGTATTAAGATTCTTTCACTAAGATTTATGTAAGGTTTGTCTTAGATAGTTAGCCTCTGAAAATACGCCTTGAAATCTAATTAGAGCAAGACCTGGCTTCTGAATATTCTGTTTGCTAACTAAAATCTTTCTGCACCTGTGCACTTAAAGGAAGAGTTAACGCGGTCTTGCTGACCGTATGAATGATGATTACGACGGAATATAAGATTCCAGTAATGATTCAAGCATTGCGGAACACTGATGTGTTGTCGGGGAGGCAATGTTCAACGGAAGCTCGGTTCACAAGTGATGGGGAAAGGCAGGAGCGACCTGGGGACAAGGCAGCATGCTCTTTCCCAACTATCCAACCCCCTTTCACAGGCTGCTCACATTCACTTTAACTGGAGTCCGCTTGTCTCCGTTCGCTACCTTACGTCAATCAGCAGGCACCTCTCTTTATCTCGCCAAGCTCCGAAAAACACCCTCCCGCCTTCTCACAAACAATCCGCACACAACATTGACGTCGACAGATGCAATCGCCAATCATGGAATCCTGCGAAGACAATGAGAGCAAGGCTTCTGCCCCTACCTCGACCGACAGCGAAGACGTACCCGACTTCGAATTCGACATCAATTGTGAGGAGGCATGGACTTTCCTCGTCGAGTAAGTTCTTTTCACCAGGTAGGGATGGCTTCAAAATCTAACGCATCGCTTCCAGGACTTCCGACACCAGCCCTGGGCCCGGCCAAGTCTTCCTCATCGCCGAAGACAAGAAGTTCTCCGTCCGTGAGAATATCCTTATCAAGCACTCCAAGTACTTCGAGAGGTCTCTCCGAAACCCGCGATTCGTCGAGTCGCAGACCAAGACCTTCACCTTCGACGACATCAAAGCTGTCCACCTTGGTGTTTACTTGCACCTGGTCTATTGTCAGATTTTCGGGCAATCTGGCAATGTCCCGTACTTCGGAGAGCCGGAGCGTTGCATATGGTTTCCCGGACACTTCGAGATCTACCAGCTTTGTGATCGCTTCCTCAACAAGGACCTCGCCGTCGCTGTCTGGGAGGGCCTTAAATGCTATCTCATCTTGGAACCGTCTATCTGGAACGATTCGTACGTGAGCGAGGAATATGAGACTTTCTCGTCGTTCTACATCAAAAGTCTCTCGCAGTGCTTCAAGCTGCTCGACCCAACGAACGACACGGACAAACGCCTGGGACGCGCGATTATCTACTCCCTCTGTCACTGCGTCCCTATCGCTGCTTCTCAAGAATGCCTCAGACTCATCCAGGGCAATCATCGACTGTTGTTTGAGGTGGCTTCCTGTTATGCCGGCATGCTTCAGGAGGCAAGAAAGGATTCGAAACCACCAAAGAAGCCCAAGCACTGGGTGGCTCGTGGCATGTGGAAGCAAGCCCTTCCGCTCAGGCAGTGAACAACTTACCAGGCAAAGAAGAATCATGACTTAGTCTTCAAGGTTGCTTCATGCTGGACCGCCTGGCTTCGGGAAGTGGATATGGACAAGTATCAGGACTTACGTCTTCAGAGTTTTCTGTATCAATGATTACATCGCGTCTCAGGGATGAGCGTATTGGTCTTTCCGGGGACTAAGGGAATAGATACCATGACGGATAAAGACCTCAGGTAGTCACTCAGCATCTGTATACACAATGTCTTGCTCAATACAAGTAGCATCCTTCAGTAGGATTGATAGTCTCGTCTAGTGCCTTTGCTTTTTCATATTGGTTTGCAGTTATGCGAAAAGTTAGCATTACTGCCTAAAGCACATTTCCCTAAACAACGTCGAAGGATCGAGCTGTTGATCCAAAGGTTGAATCAAATCCTAGATCGCACTCAGATTTCAATCCATTGCTAACCGTTCTATCTGTCATTGGTACAAATATTTGAACGGTCCTCCCGCAGATGTGGACTGTTGTCTTGCATATGGCTCTTGCCCACAAAGTTGATTCAGGATAAATGGTAATTGGACTCGAGGATCTGGGGTCGTTTTGTTTTCGGTGCATCGTTGCAAACGTGCTCGCTGCATCTCTGCTGTAGCCTGGATCCTGCTGCCTTTGGCCCGCCATTGTTCTGGTCCTGGCCCTAAAACGGCTCCTTCTGGTCTTTGGTCCTACTTTCCAGCTTTGGCCAACTTCACCTTCCCTCAACTTTCCCCGGCCTTTCCTCCCATCCAATCAGGCTTCCAGTTCTACAGTGGTTCTCTCAGGTGCTGGACTGGCACCCCACTCATCACTTTCACCCTTCATCTGCGCTTCGCTACTTCCATTTTCTCCCACAACACCCAATCGCCAGCAAACATGGACGGATGCGACTCTGTTCCCGCATTCCCCAAGCCTGGGAACCCACGGTCAATGCTGATTATGGCACCGAAGATTGTCAAACGACGAAGCTTGCCGAAAAGATAAGCATTGCGTCGTTGTTTGTGGTGCCGTTAGTACACCCAACCCCCATCCTTACTCTGCGTCACTAACGCCTCCGCAGTGAGCAGGAGGACTGTGTCACTCTCAAAGCAGGAGGAAAGACCTTCAACTTCAAGAAGAGCATCCTGATCAAGGACTCCGAGTACTTGGCCACTTGCTTCAAGAACGAGAACTTTATCGAGGGCAAGACTTTGACTGTCGAGTTCGACGACATCGACCCCGACCTTCTCAGCATCTACCTCCATCTCGCATTCATGCAGGCCATCAAGAACTCTGTGAAGTTTGACCCTGGCTTAAAGAAGGAGCCAAAGCGCCTGAAGCCCATGGTCGACCTGTATGAGATTGCCGACCGCTTCATGAACACGAAGATGACCAAACTCGTTGGCTGCTCCATCCTTGAAATAGCTATGGATCATCCTATCAAAAACGTTACATACGACATGACTGCTCTGGAACGATCTTGGTCTATCAAGAACTACAAGGATGCATTCGAGGCCCTTGACTACGGAGATCACGCTCGGGAGTACATGCGAGCGAAGCTAGTGGCCGCCTACTGTCGTTAGGTTCCTCTTGGAAACTTCAGAGACGACCTCGTTGTGTTGGAGAATTCTCCAGACTTCGTCCGCGAGCTCACAATCTGTTTTGCTTCGCTCCTGACAGATGTCGATACGTCTTGGACCTCTCAACGCGAACGAGTCCGTGCGAAATATCCCCCTGGCAATTGTCCCAAGTCCTGGGATGTGGACACCGGAGTCTTGGATATGGGTGACTGGATCAAGTGGAGGCCCTTTCCGCCGATCACTCCGAAATCTCGTTACCACGTGAGCTCTCCCTCTGATGTCGGGAGCACTTCCGCCTCGACTCATTCTAGCGATGCTTAGGATTGGAGCACTGCTCTCCCTGGATTCTTTCACTCTTAGTCGGCTTTCCCCAAGTTCCTTGCCACTTGGAATTTTCCGGCTGCGGTTCTGTGGCGAATGGGACATGCGACGTTGTTTAATTTGGACAGCAGCTTGGGATGAAACAAAGCCGGGTGACATGAAGCCGCAGACACGGTGCGAAGATGATGGAGAGGCAGAATGAAGGTTGAATGGGATGAGAAAAGCAAGGAGGCATCTGAAGACGGACTAGAAGACAGTGAATGTCCATCACGACGATAATCTCTTCCTCTAGCGCAGAAATAAAACCAAGAGCATCCAGATCCTTCTGATTCCTACCGTTTGTGCTTTCTTTCAACAGGCAAAACCTCTCGCTGTGGCCTCGACCCTTTTTGTCCTCGACGCGTCAGTCTTCGAGCTTTCCATGTTTCATTTTCTTCCCTCTTACACCGCAATCTCTGCACGCCTCGCGACTTGCAGCAAGCAATCGCCACCATAAGCGATATTTGTGATTGTTCTCATGTTAAAACCTCGGGCGAAAATATTCAAAACGCGGCATGAACCCTGGTCAAATTTCTCTCATGCTATTTTTGAAGCGAAAGGTTCCCCCGGCAGCTTTCTCTCCACTGTTGACTCTTACGTCTCAGCAAGAAGATCTTGTTCTCTAACAACACCCATAAGTGTTTCTTTCAGGCAGCAGCGCTCGGGACTGGAGAACAAGGACGGCGGCGAGAAAAGTGGAGACATAGCATGGACGCTACTTTAACTTAGATGATGGAGCCAGCTGGGGATGGAATGTGAAATGAAAACAGACGACAACTGTGAAATTCTATCAGGGTTCAGCAAATCTCACTGCAGCGCGAAGGAAAAACATACAGCATACCCAGGCTTTTCTGCATTGCGTTTTCTCATAAGCAAAATTATTCTCCGAATCCTCCATCTTTCCCACAGGACGCGGTTCGTGTGACCACACTTTTCCAATTCACATCCCAACTGCCAGTCAGCGTGCAACACCGTGAATATGGCCAACCAAAGTCAACAAGATACCAACCTCGGATTGGTCTTCCTCAAACCGCAAGTTTCTTTTCCTTGATTCGGATAGACAAGATTTACTGACGGCCGACTCCAGAGAACCCCAAACCTCGGTGACGCTCCAGTGTGGCGACAAGACCTTCGTCTTCAACAAGGCCATACTCACGCAGTACTCGGAATTTTTCGCCGCCGGCCTGAAGGATGCCACCGCCGCCGAGTGCGAGGCCAACACCATAACATTCAACGACATCGAACTCGAGCATCTGGATGCGTACCTTCAATTCGTCTACTGCAGATCCGTCAGCGAGAGTCTGCTCAAGGAGCGGATCGAGGCCCTGGGCGAGCACAAGAAACTCGTCTTCCCCGTCAAAGTCTGGCAGGTCTCCGATCGATTCCAGTCCAAGGCCCTTTGCACCGCGCTCGGAGCTCAAATTGCGAAGCTTGGATATGATTGGGAATACTCGAATCAAAACGATCGCGAATGGTGGGTTAACAACGTCAAGGCTGCTTTCGAGGCATTCGACGAGCATGCCGACAGCCAGGTGAAGCTTCGGGGCCAGGTGGTCAAGCAGTTCATTCTCGACTTTCCGTCCGAGCATCTCCATTCTGTTCTCGGCCTGGCCGATCTCAGCCCGTCGTTCATTCGCGAGCTTTGGAAGGCCCTGTCCGCCCATGCCTTCGACACGGAGAACCAGCTTCGCGATACGAAGACGAGGGCTCAAAACCATCATCAGAGGATTATGACGTTGGAGCGCGATATTCAAGCTTGGCGCAAGCGAGTCGGCGAGCTGGAGGACCAGGTTGCAGAGTTAGAAGAAGACAGGGATTACTGATATCCAGAAGACACGGAGTCAGGCACAAAATCGCCGGAGGATCGCGGCAGGCTTCTGGCCTTCTGCAAGATCACGGACAATTGATTCACAATGTCACCTTGACGGTCTAGATAGATAATACCCCAGGCAGAATATGGGAAACACTCGAGGTGCATACAGCTTTCAGGGTGAAGTCGAAACACGACATTATGTGTGGCCACGCTCTTCAGTCAGCATCCGTGAACTTCTGCTCTTCAGATTTGGACGAATTTCAAGTTCATGTGTGTCTGTTCAGTCTCGCTGAGCTTGTATCTTTTCCCAACTACCTCATTGAGAGCGTACTTATTTCATTTCAAATGAAAGAGAGCCGTGCTGTCAAGGTGGCAGCGCCACCTTGATAGCGTCGAGAGATCACAATGAGTGGCAGGTCAGGGTCAAGCTGAACAGCAATCCCTCGCGGAGAAACATCGAGGACAAAAGCGCAAGCTTTTCTCAACCGTTTTGAGTAAAGTCCCTGCCTAGAATGGATTCTCTGTAGTTCTGTGTCAATCTCCGAAGGGCTTTTCTGTGTTTGGGAAAGAAATTGAGCGACCCATGGAACGCTCAGAGTTCATTTATACGTTAGAGGTTCAAGAGGTTTTGGTGTAAGACGCATCTCCGATGCCCTACTTCAAGTTATATAGATAGATGCCTCTGTGCTTTCGCATCAGGTTTGGTCTTTGTTCGAAATCTTTCTTCTCAGTGCGTGAATTAGTTCATCCATTTGCAGACACGTACTATCTCATTCATCCAACAACGCCAACATGAACGGTCCTCAGAATTGGTCTCGGGAGTCTCTGCCCAACTACACCGACAACTTTCTCGTTAGCCCGGCTGACCCCAATGGGAGCCTCATTTATATCCAGTGCCAAGAGAAATGGTTCTGCAATAGCTTCAGCACAATGAGAAAGTACTCGACATACTTTCAGCGAATCGGGGGCCGTGTATGTCATCGACGACCAGACCCCGGACACCGTTGGCGCCTACCTCTACTTCAACGAGCGCTTGGTGTTCTCCCCCGACCCGGAGCACATCACCCCTTTCAGCAGCGTGCTTCCAGACTCGTGGGAGATGAGAACTACCCTGGCACAGAAGCTGCACCTGTGGGATATCTGTGGCCAATTCGGAAACTACCTGCTCAGGCGCTACGTGGAGCAACACATCGGCGACATCCTCACCAACTGGCGCCACTACTACCGCCACCCTGTTGGCCACGACAGGCTGGAGAACCCGGAGTGGTGCGTCCTTGACAACTTTGGGGCGGCGTACCAGCTTTGCGTTGACATGAGATGGGACCTTCAAGCCAGCGCCATTGTTCAGTCGTTCGTGCAAAACATCAGGGATGACGAGTGGGACGATTGGGAGGAGAATATAGCAGAGGAGTCCCTTGCATTCTTTTGGCGCGCTGAGAACGGGTTGGCAGAAATCAGGGAGGCTCATCGCATTGCTGAGGCCAGGGACGCTCAATACCTTGGTGAGGTCAGGTCTGCCGTGGACATATATGTGGAAGGAGTTCTGGCGGGGGAAGCCCTTCGCAACGGTCGTTAGAGTAAGGCATCGTCAGTCATGGACGAGCAGCATCGACAATCTGAGCCACACGGCAGACACCGACTTTGAGACTAACGACTCGGGTACTATTGGGGACGGGAAGAGTGATGCTAATACTGAGGATCTTGGGAGCGGGGAGCGCGGTCGCGGAGATCTCGCTGGCACCTTCTTCGAGACTCACGAACTTGAAGACGGGAACCTGGACTTACTTCCAGTGAAGGTATCGAATCCTTCTTTGTCTCCTGTTCGCGCCTCGACATTGGTTCGGGTCACGCTGAAAGCCTGAGGAAAGATGTTGGTGCGCGTTTTGGCTGTCTTTTAACCCGGGCACATCGAAGAAAACGTTTGGGACAACTGGAAATCTTTGCGGCAACAGAAACCGGCAGGTGCGAGCTTTCCACATATGGCAAGTTCAACAGATGCCTGATTTAAAATTTTCACCGAAAATCTCTTTGGCTCTCTTATTTCTTCCCACGCATCCACCCCACGCATCCACCCCACGCCCTCGCAGGTTGCCTCCCGACCTCTGCAACCCAAAGCTGCCAACCAACGAGGAAGACCCGCGCGATACCGTTGTACGACGTCAACCGACGCCGAACAACGATGAAGTCGAACGCGCACAGCGTCGCCCTTGGCGACGCTAACAAGAATGAATACAACAGCGACGCCAAGAATAAGGCCCCTGCCTCGTTCGGTTTGGCAGCGGTGGATCTGACTTGGCTGTTTTCTTCAAAGTGAGTCGATATTAATTTCAATGATCGCGCAGAACTAATCGTACTCTGCAGTGAGGAGAAGCCACTGGTTACCATCAAGTGTGGAGAAGATGCCTACAGCCGAACGTTCACGGTCCTCAAGCCTATCTTGACGAAGCACTCCAACTTCTTCGAAAAATGCCTTCGGAACCCGTGCAAAGAGTCCGAATCCTTGATCGTCGAGCTTCCCGAAGTCCTACCCAGCAACATGATGCTCTACCTCACCCTCGCCACCCGGCAAGCCCTGATGAATCGCGCCTCAGCGGAGACTTTAGTGAAGCGCAAGGATTTCGCAGATCCGACCTACATGTCGGACCATGTACAATTTTACCAACTTTGCGACTTTCTCCAAAATGAAGAGCTCGGGAAAAGCACTCACAAACTGCTTGTCAACCTCATCAAGAGCCAGCAAAATGTTTACACCGGAGGCAATTGTCCCACTATTTTCCGGGGCTATGGCAATACCTTCGATCTTCTAAAGCAGGGTCATGTCGCCCAAGCCAAACTTCGTCGCCTGCTAGTCAAGACCTTCTGTTGCACAATCAACGCTTCAAACTGCTTCAAGTATTGCGATGCTCTGAAGGAGTATCCCGACTTCCACTTTGAGGTTGCCAAGCAGTACGCACTCAACTCCATGTGGAAGGATCCTACCCATAAAAAGGCAGCCGCGATGATCAAGACACAGCGCATGTCTATCGACGACGAGTCAGAGTCGGAGCTGGAACCGGATTCGGATTCGGAGCTGCAGTTGGATTCGGAGCCGGAGTCGGAGGATTGAGCGATGGAAACGAGAACGACGTCGATGAGGAACGATGACTCGATGAGAGACAACAGCGGGGATGAGGGATGTCCATGGGGACGGTGGACAGCTGCAAGGACGAGGAGTGACGACGATGGGAACGAGAACAGCAGAAAAAGGCATCAGGACCATGAGATAATGACGAGAGATAATGGACTACGAGGACTGAGAATGCAGACAAATAAAACAAATGGACCTTCAATCGCCAGAACCTTCCGTGAAAGATCAGATTGAAGTAGCAAGCTTCCTTAGGTAACTGAAAAGAATCAAAGCAGGACGAGACTCATTGCATTGAAGTCAAATTTGGTAATCATTGCTTGAGCTAAGAGGCATTACATTTGAAGATGAGGCCACCGACATCATCACCATCGTGGGAGTTGGGTGTTGGGCGTTGGGCGTCGGATGCACGCTTCTGCAGCTCAGCAGATCGCAGATGGCGTGCAGGAGCTTGGACGTGGTTCGAAAGCTTTGGCGGTGTTTGATTGGCTCAAATGAGGACAAGTGGAGAATCGCCAATCGAAGCCAGCCATTCGCAAGTGTTTCCCCGCATCGGAGCTGCGACACTCTGCAGCTGGCCCTGCCGCTTCCCAATTACCTGCCCTGCCCAGCTCCAGCAGGAAAGAGCACCGGAGGAAGCTCCTCCTTGGACAGTGCCATTGGAGATGATGCACACGGTCCTGCCTTCGTTTTGCGCGAGGAGAGGGCGGCTGGCTGGACTGGACACCAGATTTGGGAGGCACCGCACCAAGGTTGAGACGGACCTGCTACACCGTTGCCCGCCCGTGTTCAGTGCCCCTGCCACCGACAACAGGGCTCTGTGCCATTGTTACATGAGGTTGCTCGCCTATTTCCCTCAAACTTCGAGGCCGGATTGGGCCATTTTCCTAACGTCGTCGTCGAACGGCTTTGGCCGGCATCTCAGCCAAGCAGTGCAGCTGTGGCAGCTCAGGTCTCCCGTCGCGCCACCTCCTAACGCGTCTTGGGATTAACCGGCTCTTAACCGGACCAAGCTTCCGCCCTGCAACATCCAAGATGGCCAGCTGCGTGGAGCTCTCGTCACGTCAGATTGACATGACGGTCCAGCAGCTGAGAGGTTCCTCTCCACCCAGCCTGCCACGAGGGGAACCTTGTACTGCCGGCCTCTCGCCTGCAACCTCGCAGCTTCACTCTCACTGATCGAGGACCGCTCCCTGTTCGATGGCCTGGTCCGCTACTGAGTAATGGTCAGCAGCGAGGAAGAGGAGAAAGAGGAGGGACGGAAGCATTGGACTGTCTGCTGGACCGAGCGAGCCCAGCTGCACTGCACCACCATTAACGCACAAACAGCCGATGGGAATGGCGTGTCCCGAACGGCGCGCGCCCTTGCCTCGCCCTCGCCCTCGCCCTCGTCCTCGCTCTCCCGCTGCTGATTCGCCCCGTGGAACCCAAGCAAGGCCCCGGGTCCTGCTCCCCAACCCCATGTTTCTGTGCGATGACCTGCTGCCACCGCTGCCGGTGCTCTGCTTTGCATTTGCAGCGCCTTAGCAGGCCCATCTGTTGTTGGGGAGGAGAGCTCCATTGCTCTTGCTCCTGCTCCTGCCTCTGCTCTCCGACTCCAACCTCACTTCTTCTTCCCTCTTCTCTCCCACCTTCTCCCACACAACTCCCATCTTCGATTTCCAGCTTTCCATCGTCAATCAACATCCCAACACTTCATCCCTACCGAAATAACGCCCCTTTACGCCCAACCGCGGCCATTGAGCACCTTTCCCTCGCCGACTGCGACCACCGTCATCGCGCACTGTGCGCTCATACCAGCAACCCCCTTACGTCATCGCAATGGATCCCAATCCTGCCCCCGGAGCTGTCCCAGCTGTCGCTGGCGTCGACAAAGGTGAGTGTTTGTCGCCAAATCGAGCTTCATATCACGGTCGCATGCGATCGATGAAGTCCGCCGAGTAACTGCGCTTTGCGCTGGCTCGATGCTACTCCTTGCGCCGGCCATGCCGCTCGCCGTCGCTGTACACCCATAATGTCCGAAGACCGATGCGCTGACATTATGCTCCTCGCACCGCAGCCGAGACAAAGCCCAACGGCATAGAGGCAGTTTCTGTGCCGGAGATCGTGGAGAAGCCTGTCGAGGAGAAGCCGGCAGAAGTCAAGCCGGTCGAAGAGAAGCCTGCTGAAGAGAAAAAGGAGGAACCCGCGCCTGCCACAGAAACACCAACCGTTCCTGCCGAGGAGCCGGCCAAGGTCACAGAGCCTCCTGCGCTCGCCCCGCCAGCTGATGCTCCGGTCGCGAATGCTTCTGCCGCCGATGCGCCAAAGCCGGCCACTGTCGAGGAGGTCCCCGACAAAGACGGGCCGGCTGCGACGACCGGCGTGGAGGCTCCCAAGGCCATTCCTACGGAGCAGCCAGCGGCCGCAGCTCCAGCTCCACCTGCGACGTCTGCGCCAGCCACCGAGACTGTTAAGGAATCAGTCGAGGAGCCCATCGCGCAAAAGCCCGCTGAGGAACCCGTAGTCGAGGATGAGCCGGCTAAGGAGCCCGTCATCGAGAAGCCTAATGCCGTTAATGGCGCAGCCTCCAAGGACGTAGAGATGACGGGCGCCCTCAACGAGGCCGAGCCCTCCGGTTCTGGAGAGCGCGAGGCGGCACCGCAGGCCAAGCCCAGTAACAAGCGCAAGGCGGATGATCTCGATGCCGTTGACGCCGCCGACGCCGCCAACGGCACCAACGGCGTGGCGGAAGCGAAGCCGGAGCCTGAGGAGAAGCCGGCCGAGAAGAAGGTCAAGACCGGTAAACCCGGCAGGCCTCCGAAGGCTACCAACGGCGCAGCCAAGAAGGAATCCCCGAAGAAGGACAAGGAGTCTCTGGGACACAAGATCTCCGAGAAGGTCAAAAAGGTCCTGCCGCCTGTCGGCCGTACCGCGCGCAAGACTCGCTCGCAGGGTCCCGCCTGAAGACCATCGCCATTGGGATGTCACTGATTTAATTTCCTATTGTTCTAACTATGGTCCAACAGACCAGTAACACGAGACCATGATGGTCAAGGCCGGGGTTCAGGCCGGTCTGGCGGGTTTGCTCTCTTTGTCCCGCGGGTTTTGGACAGGCAAAAAGGAGGCGCGGGATTATTGTTTTTGCCTTTTCGTTTTTGGTTATTATTTTTTCCTTCGAGTAGGCATTCGATCAAAAGGTGGAGGAGCTTGTACATATGATGATGCTTGCACATGCAGCTTTTCAATCACGAATCAATCCTTTCGATCCTTACCAGTTCCGATGTTCATCCTGACTTTTAGACGACGGACGCATGGCTTACGAAGATCATTCGCAAAAGGCCTCAACGATTCGTGGCATGGTGAAACAATTGACTAAACGACACGTCCGATTGACCTAGCAAAAGTCGTTCGTTTCTCAACATCTGTAGCTGTTCGACCGGCGGGATGTGGGATCATCAGCCCCCTACAGAAAAACATGACGTATCTCAGGGCCCTTATCTCGGTCCAGACCGCAAGTTCTCCACCAAACTCCGCGTCACCGATGCCGTCGATCGGCTGCGCTGGGCTCTGGGCTGGGAGGGATTTGCAGAGGTCCAGTCCTAGGGCAGCGAAGCTACGGCTGTCTGTTCCTAAGGATTTACGTAGACATGTGAGCTCGAGACAGCCGCGACATCAGGCGGCGAATTGCGCAGAGATTGAGGCAAGGACTTGAGCTTGCTGGTAGGACAGGTACAGTAGCTCCCTTTGGAATGTGCAGGCCCTGAAGATCTCTTTTTTGGAGAGTGAAGGTGAGGTGCTCGGCCGCGGTCTCAGGAGCTTGAGAGACGAGACAGTCGCGCGCGAGGCAAGGCTATGGAGAAACACAATGTTTATCCGAGCATGGTGGCATGGGTTGACGAAACGGCAAAAATGCCGAGAGAAAGTTTTTTTCTGGTGTCTCTTTGGGAGGGTGAGTCCTAGATTTGGGATAATGATCTCAAAAGGGATTAAGCTGTGAAGCGGCGCTAAGTTACTTTGGGCCTGGAAGACGACGGCGGCGGCAGTGGAAGAATTGGGAATGCGAATTCGTGTTACGAAGAGAGGCCGCTTTGGCTGTGACGTAGATAGAGGTTCCATGACAATTTGACGCCGTGGGAAACGGGGCGGCGGCCGGCGCAAAGCCACATTGAAGAGGAAGGTTTGTCCTTCGCCTTCGGCTTACCGTCAGGACACCGATTGTGCCCGTGGTGGGTTAAGCGCCGTTTTCTTAGGAGGTTTCCGGGTTTCCGTTTCGCGCGGTGCGCGGGTTCTTCAGATGGCCGTGCATTCTTTTCTTGACTTGTGCAAGGTAAGGCGTAGGCGCCAAGGGTTGGTGTGTATAAAATTGTTCTGGAAGCTGGGGTGGTGGGCTTGGCGATGGACGGGGCGGCGGCGGGACGCTTGACGGAGTGGGAGGGAGAAGGCAGAGGCTTGGTTCGGATTTTGGAGTTGATGATGATGGGCTGTGTCACGAGACGTGCTACATCCTGCGATGATACGTTGCTATGCTGTGCTGCTCTATCTCTCTGATGCAAGGTACTGAAGTATGCCATGCGTTGCATGCAGGGCTCTCTTCCCTTTGAGTAAGGGACTAGAGGAAGAAGGAACGATGCTTATTTCTGGGAGGCCAGGGAGTGGTTGAAAGAACAGAACAAACCGGAAAAGAGAGGTCTGAGCCACTGCGTGGAGGGACGGCGTGGCTGTGTTTTCTTTTAAGCGATGGAGGTTTTCCGACGGAGAGTTTTTTTACTTGGGATTTGGGAAGAGAGAGGGTCCTTATTGATTCTGTTAAGATGGCAGGGAAGGTGAGAGGTTTGTAAGAGCGAGAGAGGATTGGAGATAAGATGACTGGCGGTGGCATTGGCATTGGCTTCAATCCCGTCATCAGCGACCGAGTCCAATGGATGGAAACCAACTTCAACTCGTCCCCGCAAAGGGGTTCTCGGTTGCTGGGTGCCAAAGGGCCCCCAAGGAGTCCCCCT